GCATCGATAGCTTTATTATGAGCTAGCACTCTTCAGTCCACCCTCGCAGGTATACAGATATATGTATATTTCTCCTATATAATTTGGATACTCAACATTTTGCCGTCGCTTCGCTTGATTGGATTGTCGTCTGTTTGCCTCTCTTTTTTTTCTGTCGCCTTTTTATAGCCATGACTCCGCAGCAAATGAGCCGAAAAAACAAGCCCCCTCACCCCTTGCTTTTGTCGACAATACAACTCCCCGTCCGCCACGCCCCACTCCACCAAGCAAGTGCATTTGACGCCTTTGTGTTTACCGCGATAAAATATCTTTGTTAATCAAACAAATTAAACAACGAAATTTTTTCGTTTTCAAAAAAAGGAAAACCCCACAAAAAATGAGCATTAAGTAAAAATTATTTTTGGATTTTGGAATCGTAAACAGCGGAATTTCTCTATAAAACACTACAGCAATATAATATATAACTAATTGATTTTTAATCTGATTTCCGAAAATTCGACGAATTTGCGATTATTTCTTATGAGTTTGCGCAAAAACTTTCATATAATTTCTTTGGTCATGAGTAATTTATTTGACCAAGGCCAATTGCTTTGCCTCGATAGTTTTGAAGCAAAGATTAGCGGCTTTTATAAGTTAAGTTCAGTTGAATTCAAGAGTTATAAGTATAAGACGAAATATATCACAAAGAACTATATTACTTTATTTTTTGTAGAGATCAACAATATATAATTATAGATTAACTCCAAAAAATCTTATCTTGTATTAAGACAATAGTTATTATCTAAGAAATTTGTAAATGGATTTGTTAAGCAAGATGGAATCTTAGAGTATTATAATAATGTAGATTAAAATAGTTAATAATCAGAGCCTCTGTTATAATCTGTAAGAATTTATTAACTATGGCTGAACCTCTTGAGAGGCAATGAAAAGAAGAAAGGCAATGCAATGCAAAGGAATCAGGCAAGAGGGGGAGTCGACGAAAAATGATTTCAGACTCTAGATGAGAGGAAACGATAGGTGATGGAAGGAGTTCGGGAAGACAAGAGTAAAAGGTAAAGTTTAGTTTAGCATAGTTCTCGAAAGGAAAAGCAAGAAAAGCGATCCAGCAATAGGAGGTAAATGGTGATCAGAGGCAAGGGGAACAAAAACATTAAAGAGAACAAATTTATATATTCATTAATTTATGATTTATATATATTATACTCATGAAATACGCGATAATCTTCAATTCCCTGGCATTATCAAAACGAACCCAATTAATCTTTTCCATCAATAAAAACACATAAATTTCAGTTGTTTTAGCATTTTGTGGGAATTTAATTCCTAAATTGTAGAAAAATAATTAATTACAAGTTAAAATTTAGTTTTTCTTTTCTCAAAATTAAATGTTATTGCTCAATTGCGCTGCTAATCTAGTATTTATTACAAACTATATATGAATACATTCATTTTGCCAAAAAAAAAAAAAACATATTTATATATAAATTAACAAATTGTTATGTGAGAAAAACAATTTAAAAATGAGAGT